CAAGCTGACATCTTTGCTCTTCAACACTTTAAAAAAGTTCTTGTGCAGCAGATTTGCCTAATGCAATATGTCATCTGATCTCTTGACTGCTGCTTCCACGAGTGTTGATAGTTGATCCAAGAAGAATGAAGTCCTTGCAGTTGTGGGAGTGAGCTCAGGCATGACCAGCAGAATCACCACCCAATCAACCCACAGAAGGAGGAGAAATAAAAAGTTATTATTTTAAGCTGCTTAGGTTTGGGGTAGTTTGTTACATTGTTGTTGTTAAGTACTACCCAGTCAGTTTCAATTCATAGCCACCCTGTATAGGGTTTCTGAGGAGTAGCTAGTGAGCTTGAACCGCTGACCTTGTGGTTAAAACTGACTTTGCAGTCCAGCACATTAACCCACAGTGCCATACCAGTTTGTGACATAGCAATAGAAAACTGCTGAATTTGGAAATGACAGGCTGAAATAACATGAACCGCAAGATATGAAACTTTGCATACCCTCTTATTGCTCACATCTCAACTCTAGGCCTGTCTTCTCTATTCTCTAGACTTACATCAGATTCCTTTTATACATACTGTCAGAGAACTTTTTTCCTTAGAACACTTAGTTCATTTGTAATTATTCAATCATAAATGTTGCTGTTTGCTTAATGTCTATTTCTGACACTAGATTATATGTTCAATGAGTACAAAACCATGTTTGTTGTTGCTCACCATTGTATCCCCAATGCCTACTATAGAAGTAGGTCATATACTTGTTAAAATTTACTATAGAAGTGGGTCAAAATACTTGTTAGTATTTTAGTATTATCAGATTCTGAATTCAGACTGTAGTTGATTATAACTTAAGTTTAATATTTGAGTATCAAAACTTTCAACATTTCACTCTTTTAACAAGAATTATTCAAAACTGTGCCATCTACTTCTCCTGCTTTATGAGAGAAAACAATCACTTTGCTATAATTCAAGTTTTTTTTTTCTTATTTTAGTCCAATAATCTTTCCCCCTCTAGTAACTTAATAACTGTCCAATTACTAAGGGTTTTAAACAATAAGTCCACTTTGCTTTTGTTGTTGTTGTTGTTAAGTGCCGTCAAGTCAGTTCTGAGTCATAGTGACCCAGTATAGGGTGTCCAAGGAGTGACTGGTAAGTTTGAACCACTGACCTTGTGGTTCAAACTGATCTTGCAGTCCTGCATTTATCCTATAAGGCCACACCAGAAAACAAATGTAGGGTATTCAAATATACCTGACAGGTTATCTATAAAGTGCTTATTATGTATATAATGTTATTTACTCTGACAGTAAAAGTTTGTTTTTTTTTTTTAATCCAGATATAAAGTGTAGTTGTTATAATGTGTTTTGAATCCACAGGGAAAATAAAATACGGACTCAAATAGTTTAAATAATAACATAGGTAGTATGTGACCTTACTCCATACTAACCCAAATATATACTAATCCTCCAGGTTCACAGAAGGAAAACTGTAATAGTCCTAGAACAGATACACAGAATTTTAATTCAGTAGTCAATATAATCATAGGGCTCAAAATTTTAACAATGTATAAAGGGTATTACTAGGAAAAGTCCTTCTCCATCCTCATTAGCAAACATTCATTTTCCTAACTCAAACCAGCTTTATTATTTTTATTTGTAACCTTCTAGCTATTTTATACATACACAAACAATTAACTTTCCCTTATTTTACTCAAATAGAGACATTAATATACACAGTGCTCTGTACTTTGATTTTTTTAACTTAGCATTCATCTTAAATACTCTTATCTGAGCACTGGACTGCTAACTGCAAGATCAGAAGTTCAAATTCACCAGCCACATTTTGAGAGAAAGATGAGGCTGTCTGTTTCCATAAAGATTTACAGCCTTGGAAATATATTTGGGTTCAAATATATTATTAAGTGACCATTTATAAGTTACCTATCATTTAAAATCTTTTTATGAACTAAACTGATTTATAACAAACTTTTACCCAATTTACAACAAAAAGTTAAAAAGGAGAAGAACAACTCTAAATATACTAAGGAAGAAAATGGGGGAAAACTTATAGAATGAAAATGGATTTCAGGTTGTAGCAAACATTTAAAGTAACTTTTAGAGTTACTTTAAACATGGAAGGAGGGAAAGGCAATCCAAGCAAGGGTGTGCTATCTAGCTATGAGCTGGAATCGACTCATTGCAGTGTTTTTTTTAAAAAAAACACAATTAATAAAGAGCTTTCTTATTGTCTTATTAGCTATATAGTAGCCCATCACATAGCTATGTTGTTGTTAAGTGCTGTCGAGTCAGTTCCGACCCATAGCGACCCTGTACAGGGTTTCCGAGGGTGTAAATCTTTACGGGAGTAGAAAGCCTCATATTTCTCCCGTGGAGCAGCTGGTAGTTTTGAACTGCTGACCTTAAGGTTCACAGCCCGATTCGTAACCACTACGCTACCAGAGCTCCCTAGCTATACCGTAAGTCATTTAACTAGTCCCCTAAA